TTTCACCATGTTAGCCAAGATGGTCTCGATCTCCTGACCTCGTGATCCACCTGTCTCGGCCTCCCAAAGTGCTGGGATTACAGGCTTGAGCCACCGCGCCCGGCCTAGTCTTTACTTTTATACACGACTCAGCACCAGTAGAATTGGTGCTCTATCTTGAATTAGCTTTTGGAATGATTGTTTTTGATCTTGCGAAACATAGTACTCACTGCTTAGATTGTTAATCAGGGATTCTGTGTCAGCTATTGGAAGTGTGGAGTAATTGATTAGTATCCTAATGAGCTTCAACAATTTCAGTAAGTTTGGGTAGCAAATTGCACCTTTTTAAAATTTTTTTTTGAAATGGAGTCTCGCTCTGTCGCTCGGGCTGGAATGCAGTGGCATGATCTCGGCTCACTGCAAGCTCCACTTCCTGGGTTCACGCCATTCTCCTGCCTCAGCCTCCCAAGTAGCTGGGACTACAGGTGCCCACTACCACGCCTGGCTAATTTATTGTATTTTTAGTAGAGACGGGGTTTCACCGTGTTAGCCAGGATAGTCTCGATCTCCTGACCTTGTGATCCAGCTGCCTTGGCCTCCCAAAGTGCTGGGATTACAGGCATGAGCCATCGCGCCTGGCCCACCATTTTCTTTGTACTGTACAAACTCAACACCCAGAGGCAGAATTTCTGTAAAGCTAAAAATAAAGGAACAGCTTCAACTTCAGATTGTCTCACTGGCATGAGCCTCACCCAGCAGCACTTCGGGTGACTTGGGCCTCAGGGAAGAATGTTACCATGGATCATGATGGGAGTTAAGGTAATCCATATACATGTGTGTCTTACTTTGTAAAATAATCCCCTCTATGAACATGTAACATTACTGTTCACATTTTGGACATTTTCCCTTCAAACACATTTTTCATGAGTATGTTATAGGAAAGTTAAAACCATCTCTCTTCTATTTATATATTTATTTATTTTTTTTTTTGAGATGGAGTCTCCCTCTCTCTCCCAGGCTGGAGTGCAGTGGTGCCATCTCGGCTCACTGCAAGCTCCGCCTCCCAGGTTCACCCCATTCTCCTGCCTCAGCCTCCGGAATAGCTGGGACTACAGGAGCTCCCCACCGTGCCCAGCTAATGTTTTTGTAATTTTGGTAGAAACGGTGTTTCACCGTGTTAGCTAGCATGGTCTCGATCTCCTGACCTCGTGATCCGCCCGCCTCGGCCTCCCAAAGTGCTGGGATTACAGGCGTGAGCCACCGTGCCCGGGAAAGCCATCTCTATTCTAAAAGGAAAATCTACCATTTTGCTCAGAGAGAAAGTTACTGAGTTTGTCTATGTGATTTTAAGTAGTATTTGATTAGAGTATTAAAGAAATGGGATACTTCAAGTAACATAACACCTGATATTTAAATTTAAGTTTTAAAAATGTATTTTACCCATTGTTAATGTTGCTAATGAAAGTGTTTCTAAGTCGTAACCCCTGGTTAGCTATTCTGCCTTCTTGCCTTGATAAGTTGACTGGTGGTGAATGTGCTGTTGTCCTTCCAATGACAGCTCAGGATTTTGTGGTCATCTCAGCATAATATTAGCATAGATATAAGTTGTGATTTTATAGGATCATGGAACTATAATTGTGGAACTCCTGCAGGGCAGACTCTGGAGGCTAGTTTTTTAGAAAACTAAAATCCCCGGTATAAGCTTAATTTCTGTCATTTGCCCCATTTTCTTGAAAGTTGAGTGCCGGAAGAGAAAAGGATCGAGTCTCTCTTTTCTTTCTACAATAAAACAGAATGTACTTTCTCCAGGGCTTGGTTCCTTTTTCCTGTTGAGGTGGATTCTGAGATTGAGGAGGGGCTGCAGAAAACACAGCGTGAGGGAAAGAGACTGAGAACATACTCAGGGTGCCCTCGCCTCTTTTTCCCTTTCGTGCTCCTGTCTCCCATCTAGGAGCACCAGGGCTACCAGTCCTTGTGGGAACAAGTTTGAGTAGGATCAAGAGACATGTAACTGGACCAGGCGCGGTGGCTCACTCCTGTAATCCTGGCACTTTAGGAGGCTGAGGCAGGTGGATCACTCAAGGTCAGGATTTCGAGACCAGCCTGGCCAGCGTGGTGAAACCCCGCCTCTACTAAAAGAATACAAAAATTAGCCAGGTGTGGTGGCA